CCCTCCACAATTACAACATTTCAACTTTGCACCCTCAACACATTTGCCATACTCGTGTTCTTCACTACATTTACCACATCTTTGTCCAAATCTCTGACATTTGAAACATCTAAGTGGAGGAGGTATGTGCCTGTTGACCTCACAGCGCCGTACCAAAATACGGTTTTATGGTGGGTAGCACCAATGTTAAGGTGCATTATCGCCACCTACTGTATTGGAGCGTGAACCAGAGTTTACCCTTTCATAATAAGAGGACAAGAAAAAAAAGAAAGAAAGAAAAGCCAACAACAAAAACAAAAAAACATAAAAAGTTACACGCCTTTTTATGGCGGTTGGCAAACAAAAAGGTGCATTCCCGCCACCTACTGAGCTGGAGTGCGATTCATCGATGAAACGAGAAGAAAGACTAAGCTGAGAGAGAAATAAAAATAAAACGCTATTAATAGATCGCCTTCTAAATCCGATTAAACAGATGCACCTTTCTTAAATATTTCATTAATGCTTTATATACTCTATAACTTTCCGATCCATTATTCAGCAGTTTTTTTAAGTGTAATATTTCCCATACCCATTTCTTTGAACTCTTCCACCAGAATTATCCTTTCATTTTGATAAGCAGTGCAATATATTAATACATGCTCTACAGTTTCTGCTAATCCACATAGACTGCAATTTCCAGACTCATGACTGTTCATTCTATACAGGGAATAATTAAGAGCTGTATGTCCAAGGTCGAAGTCTGGAAATGTTTGTGTCTTCTCTTCTACTGCCACCACCAATTTTATTTTGAATCTGATAAAGATGTCTGCCTCTTTCCTCCTCATTCCATTGTACTTGCCAATTGCCTTTTATAGCTGTTCTAATTATAGCCTTAACTTTACAAAGTGGAATATTAAATTCTATAGGAGATAATTTCAGCTAGATGATCCACTTCCTCATTTCCATCTACTCCCACTTGTGCTGGAACCCACAGGAAACATCTGGCTTCCTAATGTTTTTACCCTGTACATACTTAAAAGAATTTCATATAGAATATCTGGTCTTGAAGATCTCCCACTAATTAGACTTGATAATGCTGAGAAAGAATCTGAGCACATCACCACATTCATTGGTCGAGAATCCTCCCACTTCTTAGTACACACTGTCAGTGCGAATGCAACTCTTTAAATGGTACTGGGAAATAGTTCGTGCAAAATCGTCCCAGTACTTTAGTACTGTACATTTAGTTCTGGAACTAAAGCGGTGCGAAAGGCCCTATTAATTTCCACTGACGGGCAGGATTGCTTTCTAATTACTGATAGATTTCTGCCGGTGTCTTGGCTTTCCATGCCTTTTTGCACCTCTCTTTCTTCATGTGTTCAATACTTTTCCCCTGTGCCATTCCACTTTATTACACATAACTTAATTTCTGAACTTATTAGTTTTGTTTTCTTTGTATGTATGGATTACTCAGGTTGTTACCGACATCTGGTGAACATTTCAAGTCAACAGCACCTTTAGAAATATATTTACTGAGAAAAATGCTGACGTGTTCAATACTTATTTTACCGGCTGTATATGACAGATTTTCACGCAGCATTTTATTCATATGTAAACATTGTTTAATTACCATTATAACTAGCCATCTCATACGTTTTTGGTCACGTGGTGTATTTTTGAAAAAAAAAACACATGATCTCTTTACAGCAATTTACTCTCAATTTTCCAGTAAAGTCTGAATGTGTGAAAGGGGCTAATATCTCAGTTTGCATTGAACTTTCAGCGTCGTAACTTTGCAGATATTGTTTATTCTCAAACAGCAACATTAGACACTACCTAACTTTAAAGGGATGGTTGATTGTGATTTCACTTTTTTAAAGACTTTTTTCCTGATGTAGATAGATTCAATCATGCATACAGTGAAATTGTTGCAGAGAAATGTTAGCTATGAAGCTTTAAGTAAACAGAAAAGGTTCAGGTTGAAGTAGCTAAGAAAGGACAAAGCAAATACCTCACAAAAACAAATCAAATGTTTGAGTCACATGGGGTAAACTTTTTATTCTTTTTCTGACCTCTTTATATTTTCTTTTTTCTGTGGAGCTGTTGAGGATGGGCTCTTTAAATATAAATGGGAGTAGAGATGGAAATACATTGAGTTATTTAGTATTAAAAAGATAAATGTAGCTTTCTTACAAGAAACACACACTAGTTTAGATAATGAATCTGAATGGAATAGATGGTGGGAGGGGAAAAGTGTTTTAAGTCATGGGACAAATACAAGTGCTGGTATGGCCATTCTGCTTTCTAAAGAAATGAATGTCAATATTTTAGTTGTAGAAGAATTTGTAAAAGGAAGAATATTGCTGTTAAAGATGGAATGTTTGTATTGATAAATGTTTATGGACCGTTGATTTTATTATTGATAGGAATGGAGAAGAACCCCATCATGAATCAAGTGTTGTATTGTTAAATATTTTACAAGAGTTTGAATCAATAGATATTTGGAGAAGAAGATATACAGGAATAAAACCGTATACCTAGCTTAAAATATCTAATAATAGGGTTAGTGGAGCTAGATTAGATAGATTTTTATATAGGTTATGGAAGTTTCTATTTTTACCTGTTGGGTTTTCAGATCATCATTCAACACAATTTGTTTTTGGCACTTTAATATTAAACTATTGCAGGGTGCTTTATTTTGTGAAAATTGTAAACTTTTTTTTATTGGAATGACTGGAATTTAAAAAAGGATTCTTTTGAAAATCCGTGTATGTGGTGGGAGGTTGGTAAAGCAACTAATAAGAGTCCTCTGTCAAAATTATAGTTCACTTCCTGCGAAAGCAGCGATACAAAAACTTCAGAGATATACAAGCTTTGGAGAATATTCTTGTGAATAACAATTTGGAAATTTACAAAATGAGCATCTGAATAAAAAGAAGGAACGTAGTTCATTATTACAAGAAAAAGTGAAGGGAGTGTTAATAAGAGCAAGAATTTAAGACATAACTCATGTCGAAAGCCCCGTTCACACCAAGAACGATAACTATAAAGATAACGATATTAGCGTCCACACCAGCGAACGATATCGTCTGTTTATTCTAAGCGCACGCGCGTCTGCCGCTTTAAATTCTTGAGCTCGTTACAGCAGGATGGATCCTGATTGGCTGTCAGTGTTTTATCGTTCATCAGCTGGAGAACAATCGTTTTGAAAGTGATCACAACGATATCGTTCCTGTGTATCGT